ATATCTCAGCAAGGGGCCCAGCAGTCACTTCCCTAGCTTCCCACAGAGTTCAAGGGTACACCTGATCAGGTCCTCTGGAATTATCCAATCTTATGCATTTGAAACCATCCAGCACCACTTCCTCTGTAATATGGACATTGTTCAAGACGTTGCGATTTATTTCCCCACATTCTATATCTTCCATATCCTTCTCCACAATAAACACTGATGCAAAATACTCGTTTACTATCTCCCCTGTCTCCTACAGTTCCACACATAGGTGGCCATGCTGATCTTTAAGGGGCCTTGTTCTCTTAGTAGTTACTCTTTTGTCCTTAATGTATTTATAAAATCCCTTTGGATTCTCCTTAACCCTATTTGCCAAAGCTATCACATGTCCCATTTTTGCCCTCCTGATTTCCCTCTTAAATATACTCCTACTGCCTGTATACTCTTCTAAGGATTCACTCGATCTCTGCTATTTATACCTGACTTATGCTTCCTTCTCTTTCTTGACCAAAACATCAGTTTCTCTATTCATCCAGCATTCCCTACACCTACCAGCCTTGCCCTTCACCCTAACAGGAACATACCATCTCTGGACTCTCGTTATCTCATTTTTGAAGACTTTCCATTTTCCAGCTGTCCCTTTACCTGAAAACATCCACCTGCAATCAACTTTTGAAGGTTCTTGCCTAATACTTCCTCCAATTTAGAATAGCACTGGTCCATCCTTTTCCATCACTATTTTAAAACTAATAGAATTATGGTCACTGGCCCCAAAGTGCTCCCCCACTGACACCTCAGTCCCCTGCCCCACCTTATTTCCAAAGAGTAGGTCAAGTTTTGCACCTTCTTTAGTCGGTACATCCATATACTGAATTAGAAAATTTTCTTGTAAACATGTAACAAATTCATCTCCATCCCCCCTTAACACTATGGCAATCCCAGTCTCTGTTTGGAAAGTTAAAACCCCCTACCATAATCACCCTATTATTCTTTCAGATAACTGAGATCTCCTTACAAGTTTGTTTCTCAATTTCCCACTGACTATTGAGAGTCAGGGATTGTGGGTTGGGGGTCTGTAGTACAATCCCACTAAGGTGATCATTGCTTTCTTATTTCTCAGTTCCACCCAAATAAGTTCCTTCCTAACATCCCCCAACAGTGTCACCTTCCCATGCGATCACAGAAGGTGTAATGTTTGAGCTTTTGCCTCCTCCCTGCCTCATTGTCCAAAGACTCAAACACAACGTCCAGGTGAATCAGTTTTTCACTTGTACTTTCAACCTGGTTGACTATATTCAGTACTCACAACGTGATCTCCTCTACATTGGCAAAACCAAATGGAGTCTGGACGACTGGCTTTTGGAACACCTCCACTCTGTCTGTAAGAATGATCCTGACCTTTGAGTTGCTTGCCATTTTGATAAACCATCTTGCTCCCATGCCAACACTTCCATGCTAAACCTGAGCTCCAGTGAAGCTCAACATTAAGGTACTTCACAGCCTTCAGGATTCAGCATTGAGTAAAGCCAAAGGGTGTGGCATACCCAATATTGGACACAAAAGTATGAATGGCAAAATCCTGAATAGTTGTCGCGAGAAGCTAAAAAACGAAATATAAGAAAAAAAACCAAACCAGCAAATGAGCAAAGGTGCAATCTAAAATTTTTGGTCTCCATATTAAGCCCAGAATGATCTAAATTGGCCAGTAGAACAATATTGCTCCTTGATTGCATTGGACATGTTTGGAATATTAGTAGAGGTTAAGGGTCAAAAGACCAGTGGGAGAAGGGTAGAGAATTAAAGTGACAGGTGACTGAAGAACTTTGACTAAAAAGAATCAAAGAACTGCGGATGCTGGAAATTGGAAACAAAAACAGAAATTACTGAAAAAATTTAGCAGGTCAGGCAGCATCTGCAGAGAGGAAGCAGAATTAACATTTCAGGTCCAATGACCTTTCTTCAGAACTTGTGTTCTGAACATTGGTATTCCATGTAGTTTATGTTGGGTGAAAGGGGACACTTAAGTGCAAGTATAGAAAATACTCTCCATGCTGATGACTGCTGTTCCTCCTCTTCACCTCTCCACAGCTTACTCAACCTGGTTGACAAGACTCTTGACCGTATCTGTTTTATTTCATTCACTTCTAACTCCGTGCTTTCAGTCTCAGAACCACAGTGTTATTTCTTGACCTCAGCTCCCAACCCCACCGGTATCTGTATGAATGGATCATTTTCCACCATCTTCACTACTCCTTTGAGCATTCTAAAGGGATTGTTCATGCTGTGTTACTTTGGCTCACTTCTCGGTCATACAACCTATTTCTGTTGAACTTTTTCATGAAAGCTCAGGTGATGCAACACCTTTTATCCGGCTCTTTCTCACCTTCCAAGGTACTTAGACGTTCCTTTCAGTTAAATAGTGATTTGTATATGCTTTCAGTTTGACATATTCTATTTGCCATGGGTACTGTGATCCCGTCTACAGTACCCCGGGACCTCACCCGTGCTCAAGGATGCTGCAAAGATATCTGTTAAGGCCCCAGCTGTTTCTCCTCTCGCTTCCCTCAGTAACCTGGGATAGATCCCATCCGGACCTGGGGACTTGTCCAACCGTAATGCCTTTTAGAATACCCAACACTCTTTCCCCCACCCCCCCCATGCCGACATGACCTAGAATAATCAAACATCTATCCCTAACCTCAACATCCGTCATGTCCTCTCCTCGGTGAATACCGACGCAAAGTACTCATTAAGAATCTCACTCACTTTCTCTGACTCCTTGCATAACTTCTCTCCTTTGTCCTTGACTGGGCCAACCCTTTCTCTAGTTACCCTCTTGCTCCTTATGTACGAATAAAAGGCTTTGGGATTTTCCCTAACCCTGTTTGCTAAAGATATTTCGTGACACCTTTTAGCCCTCTTAATTCCTCGTTTCAGATTGGTCCTACTTTTCCGATATTCTTCCAAAGCTTCGTTTGTTTTCAGTTGCTTAGACCTTATGTATGCTTCCTTTTTCCTCTTTGCTAGTCTCACAATTTCACCTGTCATCCATTGTTCCCTAATCTTGCCCTTTCTATCCCTCATTTTCACAGGGACATCTCTGTCCTGCACTCTAATCAACCTCTCTTTAAAAGCTCCCACGTATCAAGTGTGGATTTATCCTCAAACAGCTGCTCCCAATCCACATTCCACAGCTCCTGTCGAATCTGGCTATAGTTGGCCTTCCCCCAATTTAGCACTCTTCGTTTAGGACCACTCTCGTCTTTGTCCATGAGTATTCTAAAACTTACGGAATTGTGATCACAAAGTAGTCCCCTACTGAAACTTCAACCACCTGGCTGGGCTCATTCCCCAACACCAGGTCCAATATGGCCCCTTCCCGAGTTGGACAATTTACATACTGCTCGAGAAAACCCTCCTGGATGCTCTTTACAAATTCTGCTCCATCTAAACCCCTAACACTAAGTGAATCCCAGTCAATGTTGGGAAAATTAAAACCTCCCATCACCACCACCCTGTTGTTACTACATCTTTCCATTATCTGTCTACATATTTGTACCTCTATCTCACGCTCACTGTTGGGAGGCCTGTAGTACAGCCCCAACATTGTTACCGCACTGCCCATATTGCCTCACTGCTTGAGTCCTCCATGGTGCCCTCCTTCAGCACAGCTGTGGTATCCTCTTTGACCGGTAATGCAACTCCTCTACCCCTTTTACTTCCTTCTCTATCCTGCCTGAAGCATCTATATCCTGGGATATTTAGTTGCCAATCTTGCCCTTCCCTCAACCAAGTCTCAGTAATAGCAATAACATCATACTCCCAGGTACTATTCCAAGCCCTAAGTTCATCTGCCTTACCTACTACACTTCTCGCATTAAAACAAATGCACCTCAGACCACCTGTCCCTTTACGTTCATCATCTGCTGTCTGCCTACTCTTCTCCTTAGTCACACTGACTTCATTATCTAGTTCCTTACAGGCTTTAGTTACTACCTCCTTACTGTCTACTAACCACCTCATTTGGTTCCCATCCCCCTGCCACATTAGTTTAAACCCTCCCCAACAGCGTTAGTAAAAGCACCTCCTAGGACATTGGTTCCAGTCCTGCCCAGGTGTAGACCATCCAATTTGTAATAGTCCCACCTCCCCCAGAACTGGTCCCAATGTCCCAAAAATCTGAACCCCTCCCTCCTGCATCATTCAAGCCACTCTCAAGCTATGGATGCCAACAATTAAAGAGAAGTGGCCACATAAGGAATTGGAAAGTTCTTCCAGCCTTTGATAAAGGATGAACAGTGACTCAACCTATATGTGGCTGTTGCAAGATTGAAGGGAACAAATGACAAGCAAAGGAAGCATAGCACATGGCAAGTTATGGAGAAGTCCAACGTCTAATATTTAGCTACTGTATTGAAGGTGTGACCATTTAAGTGTTATGTCTCATTGTCCTTGTACCTTAAGAGACATACTCCTTGGCATCATCATTACATCATAACATGTGACTTGATGGTATAAAGATTTCATACTCCATTTTGCTTTGGATCACATGAAGTGGGACTAGAAGCCTGCTCCTCCATTGTAATCTAATAGTTTAATGTTGGTGATGGTGCCTGAGTAATGTAATGTTTGTACCTAATAGTCAGTTGCAATAAGTGTTGTATTCTTCAATATGTGATATCCAGGCCCTGTTTTTTACGTTACAGGAGATAACGTAAGCATTGCCACAATAGGTTAAATAATCTTGGAGACAAATTATCACCGTTCAGAGTGTTAACCCTTTTCCATTGAAGTAGATGCAAGGATGTTATTTACTTGGGCAATAGCTAAGTGCCACACTGGTGACTAAAAGTGTCCCTAATTGATGTTTATTCCCTGACGATGCAGCTGAGAACAGGGCTGTTAGATATCTTACCACCTTGTATTGTATTATGTTTGAGTACCAGTAAAGATTGTGCCATTTTTCTAATTATTTGAAAACTGATGCTTCTACATCACTTTGTATATTAAAGATGAATTCTTCCAATGGAGGTGGGTTTTGTGACTGTGGAGATGTTGAAGCCTGGAAGACTGGACCTGCTTGTAAAATGCATGAACATGGTGTGTCAGAGGACTCTGCGGTAAGATGCTTTTCCAGCACCATTTGATCTTTATTGAATGTAGCTTGTCTGGTGATGGTGACCAGAAGGATCAATTTAACTTAGAATGTTTTCTTAATTTTCCCCCTGCCCTCTCCCGTCAATTGCATTGAAATTCCAAAAACCATATTTTTTGCCTTGGAAATTGTGGATTTTCATTGTTTTAGCTTGAACTTGTATCTGGCAATTGTCATATGTGAAACTTCTTCATTCGTATGTGCACAAATCACTATATAATATGCTTCGACCTCAACAGGGATGGTTACAGATAGAGAGTACTCTAATTTAGAAACAATTATTCTATGGAATCTGTGGAATTATACCATGTACATTTACTGACTTTTCTACAGTGAGGAGCCATTTATTGTTTGAGGCTGGATGTTGACCTGAGAATTTTAAGCTGTGCTTGTGAATTGATTCAGTGGTGACATTGCTACTATTACTTTGGCTCTTTGGCAGTACACTGCCAATGTGACCATGGTCGCTGTGACCAGTTTGCCATTAAATATGCAATTCGTAACAGCACCTTTGACTGCCATGCGAATGATGACTTCAGGATGCGGAATGTTCTTGAAATAGTAGGATAATAGGTCAGCACAACATCGTGGGCCGAAGGGCCTGTACTGTACTGTTTTTAAAAAAGAAGTCCGTAGAACTTATATTGGTCATAGCATTTAGTATTTAGTATTTATAACCAAATTAGAGCCAGTACACTAGCTACTTAAAGCAAGGTGATAATGTGGTTTACTCCCTTATAAAGGTAAAACTGCCAGATCTTTTAATGACAGCTGTTTGTAGGAGATGGTAGTTGGAGATCAATACAGAAATATTGATTCCCTTTCCAGCTCTTCATTCTTCTCTACGTTTTCCTTAATTATTTCTATCAACATATTGGAAAGCTTGAGCTCCATTTGTCACAGTTTTTATTAGTTTGATAGATTATTGTTCTACGGAAAGTTGTGACTTTCTTCTGATCCCTAACACTCACCTGTATTTGGAAAGGCATGGGATTAGGGATAGTCAAGATGGTGTTGTCTGTGGGAAATCGTGTCTCACTACATAATTGAAGAAGTGATGAGGGAGATTGAAAGTAGAGTAGTGGACATTGTCTGTATGGAATATAAACAGAAATTGCTCAACAAGTCTGGCACCATCTGTGGAGAGAAATCAGAGTTAATGTTTCAGATCTGTGACCTTCCGAAATGATGGCAGCTTGGAAAGTGTTAGTTTTTTATGCAGAAGGTAGGGTTTGGGGGGGCGGTGGTTAATGATAGGTGGAGATAGAGCCCAAAGAGAGAGAAGAATAACGATAACGATCAGGCTAGGAGAGTGAATAGCTGTTAATGGGGACTGGCCAAATGCTGGCAAATGGGACCGGATTAATTTGGGAATAGTTGGTCAACGTGGACATGCTGGATTGAAGTGCCTGTTTCCGTGCTATACATCTCAATGACTGTATGACTTGCCTTATTTTATGCTTAGTTTTTGGTTGGCATTTGGTTTGCTTAATTTCCTTCTCAGTTTTAACTGAGTGATACTTGGATTTGATGTCTTTTCACTTTATGGATGGACTTTTTTCACTGGATGTTGAGAACTGTTTCTAAGATTAGATTTTATGCCATGGATCCTTTCCAGTTACTGATAACCATAATGTTGCTTGAACCATCTTTGAATGTTGCTTGGTTGCCAGTGGTTTGAATTTTATTTCTGGCTCAGGAAGGAGGATTGACTTGACTGCCCTTCACTGAAAATTCATCTGGCTATAAGAATGTTCAAACTTAGATTCTTAGGCATAAACAGCTGCCCATCACTCTGCCAGTTTAGAATCAGAATTTGTTATTTTTAATCAACCTGTTCAAACATACCTGTGTGGCAGGTGGACTTGGCAGGTGGACTTGAACCCAAACCTGGCCCCGAAGGTAGAGGTGCTACCACAGCTCCATAAGACCCTTCTTGCATTCAGGGAATATTTGCAAAGTGTGAGCATGGAATCATATGGTTCAGCTGGATGTTGTTCAAGCTTGTGCTGCTAATTCATTGAAATAGCTATTCTTTTGGTCACATTCCACTGTTCTTCTCCTGTACCTTTGCAGATATTTTCCCTTAAAGTATTTACCCAAACGTGCTATATATTAGGCGCTTATCTTAATAAGTAGCCTGTGGTGATTGGGGGAGTATATTAACAAGGATAGAAGATAACTGATAAAAGACAACGAGTTGAGATGAGGGGCATTTCCAGGATAATGATCTGTAATCAGTGGTATCGGGGCTGGGGCCAAAATTATTTAAAATATATACATGACTTGAATGAAGAAGCTGAATGTCGTAAAGCCAAGTTTGTGGGTCGTATAAAAATAAGTGGAAGGTAAGTTCTAGGGTGACAGTTTACAGTGGGATAGAGACAGGTTAAGCGAGTGGGAAAAGATTTGGCAGTGGAATATAATGTGGGAAAATGTGAGGGTATACAGCTTGATGAGAAGAATAGAGGAGTTTAATATTATTTACGTGGAGAAAGACTGCAGAAAACTATGGCATAGAGGAATTTGGGAGTCCTTGTGCATAAATCTCAAAAGGCTAGCATCCCAGTTCAGCATGCAGAACTCAAACTGAGCAGCTTATTCCTTTGAAAGTATGGTTTGATAGCACTGTTAATGACTCTGTCCATCACTTTACTGATTGAGAGTTGACTAAGAATGAATTGGCTGGATTGGATTTGTCCTGCTTTTATGTTCATTTTATGTACATTTTCCACATTGCCTGATCACTGACATGTAAAAGTTGAATGTGACCAACTAGGCTAGGGGTGTGGCAAGTTTTTGGACCACAGGTCTTCAATACTATTGTTATTGCTTGAATGTTGTCAGGGCCCATAGTCTTTCCAGTATCCCGTGCCTTCAACCAATTCTTGATTTCGTTTTTTGGCGTACATTGGATGGCAGGGTTGCTGGCTGGGACAGTATTTATTGTCCACCCCCAATTGCCCTTGAGGTGGTGGTGATGAGCTACCTTCTGGAACTGCCATAGTCTTTTGTTTTAAGTTGACCCATAGTGCTGTTGGGGAAGATGCTCTTGGACTTGTGGCCTACCGACTCTGAAGGAGAACTGATCTATTTCCAAGTCATGATTGTGAGTGGCTTGGAGGGGATCTTGCAGGTATTTCCATTTCTCTGTTGCCCTTGCCCTTGCCCTTCCAAATGAATGAATGATTTTATTATCACGTGTATTTTACAGCAGTGAGAAAAACAGTAAAATGCAGTGAAAAGCTTTTCCACTGTCGCCGTGATCCACCACCATTTTGAATAGTTTTAAAAATAAGAAAGAAAAGAAAGATAGAGCTTAAAGAGAATCCATCAGTCCTGAGTTCAGGATGTACCGCCATCCCGTCCCCACCGCCTTGCTGTCGTCTACATTGGACCCAATCAACATTGAAATAAGGGAGTTACATACAACTATCATCACTGGTCTCCATAATTTCACCTTTGGTATTGCTTGCCAGAATCTGGGTCAAGGATGGCTTAGCACAGTTGATATAGAAATGACTTGGGGTCGCGACAGAGAGTCTGGCAGGTGCTGAGATGCGAGTTATCATGAGCTTACTCAGCATTTCTGGCTGAAGAATGGTGCAGATGCTTCCGCCTTTTGCACTGACATGCTGGGCTCCCCCATCATTGAGAATGGAAATATTTGTGGAGCTGCTTGCTCCAGTGAGTTGTTTAATTATGTGCTGCCATTTTTGACTGAAAGGTCAGATATTAGATTGGATCTGTTGGTTGTGAAATCGCTTTGCTCTGCCTATTATTTGCACCATGCAAGCAAGTGGTTCTGTGTTGTACCATCACCAAGTTGATGCTGATTTTTAGATATGCCTAGTGCTGCTCCTGGCATACCCTCCTGTATTCTTGAATGGGGGACATGCCAAGCCGTGAAGTCACAGATTGTGTTGAAGTACAGTTCTGCTGTTGATAGCCCACAGCATCTCATGGATGCCCAATCTTCAGTTGCTAGATCTGTTCAAAGTCCATTCAAAGCACAGTAGTTGTACCACACAATGCATTGGTCGGAATTCTCAATGCGAAAATAGGGCTTGATATCCACAAGAACTGTGTAATGTTTATTCCTACTGATACTGTCATGGGGAGATTCATCTGTGGCAGGCAGATTAGTGAGGATGAAGTCAAGTATGTTTTTATTTTTTGTTGGTTCCTCTCACCGCCTGCTGTACCACCAGTCTAGTAGAGTTGATCTTTCAAACATGAACAGCTTAGTCAGTAGTATTGCAGCCAAGCCACACTTGGTGGACATTAAACACGTCCACTCAGAGTATATTCTGTGCACTTGCCATCCTCTGTTCTTGCCTGCTAGTGTTGAGCAACTTGGAGGAGGATTGATTCATCAGTAGAGCGAGGTCGGTATGAGAGAATCAGGAGGTTTCCTTGCCCATGTTTAACCTGTTGTCATCATGGGGCCTGGAATCAATGCTGAGGACTCAGAGGGCAACACCCTCTGGACTGTATCCAACTGCTGCCACCTCTGCCGAGTCTATCTTGACAGTGGGGCAGGACATATCTAGATTACAACTTCTAGTCTGCTGTTGGTATTTTCCTGGATTCAGTGGCATATATGACCTAAACTAGGTATTTCTCATAGAATAGAATCTCATAGAATCCCCACTGTGGAAAACAGGCCATTCAGCCCAACAAGTCTACAAAAACCTTCTAAAGAGCATCCCACCCAGACCCATCCCTATATTTCCCATAGCTAACACACCTAACCTGCACATCGCTGAACACTATGGACAATTTAGCATGGCCAGTTCACCTAACTTGCACAACTTGGGCTGTGAGAGGAAACTGGAGCACCTGGCAGAAACCCACGCAGACATAGGGAGAATGTGCAGACTCCACATACAGTTGCCTGAGGCTGGAATTGAACCTGGGTTCCTGGCGCTGTGAGGCAGCAGTGCCAACCACCAAGCCACGGTGCCGCCCTAAGAATTCTGTTTGAGGAACATCTTCCCAACCTCGTTGACAGTGACAGCACCAGCCCCCGCCACCCAAAATAAAAAAACAAACCACCACCACCACCAAAGATTGAAGGTAAAGAAAGAGGGAATCCTGGCAAATTTGAAAGTAACTTTAGGGGTATAAGGGAGCAGGTACTAAGTTACTCCAAAATGGTTTACTACCAATCCTAAAAGTAATTAAATAAGCATAGCATCTAAAGAAGACTGAATTGCCAAAGCCTTTGCTACCAGTAAATTATATTTAGCTGAGTATCTTTTGAAAGAGAAACTTCTGACCCATGAGAAAAACAGGAAGTGCTGGAGAATCTCAGTGGGATTATCAGTATCTGTGGAGAGAAGAAAAGTAATGTTAACATTTCTACTTTAGTACGACTCTTCAGACATGAAGAGAGAGGTGGAAAAGTGATAACAAAAACAAAGTTGCTGGAAAAGCTCAGCAGGTCTGGCAGCATCTGTGGAGGAGAAAACAGTGTTAACGTTTCGGGTCCGGTGACCCTTCCTCAGAACTTTTCCAGTAACTTTGTTTTTGTTCCTGATTTACAGCATCCGCAGTTCTTTTGGTGGAAAAGTGATCTTTTATACTGTAGAAAAAGGTGAGGGAAAGAGATGGAACAGAAGACATTATCAGGGGAAGGTGAGAGTGCGATGGAGATTAGAGATCATGGATGTCACAGAAGATAAGACAAAGGGAAATGGTAATGATTGTAGAGAAGAGAGAATGATCCACTGTACTTGTTACCCTCAGAATATACTTTAGCTCTGCTAAAAGCAAAACCAAGAAAACCATCCTCTGTGTATGTGGTGGGGGTGGGAGTGGGTGGTGAAGATGATGAGGATGAGACAACATGGAAGTACACAGTTTATGGTCTGAAGTTCTCCATGTTAAGTCCTGAAGGCTGGAAAGTGCCTAGCCAGAAGATGACGTGCTGTTCCCTACCAGAAAGCAGCAGAAGACATAGGACAGAGCTGAGATTATGAGACAAAGGTAGTGAGTTAAAATGACAAGTGACTGGAAGGTTGTGGTTGTGCTTGTGGACCAAACACAGGCATCAAAACGGTTACCCAGTGTGCATTTAGTCAACCCAGTGTAGACGGTATTCTGGGTCTATCTACAGCACATGGCTGAAGAAGGTAGCACGCCACCATCTTCTCAAGGGCAATGAGAGGTGGGTAAGGAATGCTAGTAGCAACCCCACATCCTATAAATTAATTAAAAGTGAGAGAAGGGTGGAAATATGAAGCAAAATTGCTTAATTGTACCAGTTTCAGATGAGACCAGGAAGTGACATCAATACAGTGAACAATGTACCAGAAAAGGAGAGTTGGAGAAGGGGGCCAGAATGGGAGTGGAAGAAGCAACGTTTCACAAACCACACAAAAAGGCAGACATAGCCAGGATAGTGCAGGTACCTCTAAGCCAGATTTGTGCTAAAATAAGGTTTGAATTTAATTTAAATGATCAGCTTTACAGTAATTCAGGGTGATTGATTCTTGTTGTGGTTCTGAGTAATTGAGTTCAGTAATTAGATTTTAAAGGCTGCATGCACTTTCATATTTTATCTTAATCGTGTTAGAGGGGTTGCAGGCACTGAAATCTGAAGTACAAGTCTGTTTCTGACAATTCACTGCACAATTATTGAATGTTTATTTTTGCATGCTATTTTGTACTATTAGGAATTTGTGTTCCAGAGTTGAAGTGCACTACTGTAATAAACTGGAGCCATCTGCTCTGATTGAATCAGATTTTCCTGGAACACTTCCCAGAATAGCAATGTCATGTAAACGTTTCCCAGGCCAAATAGATTACATGATACGACGCATGCTTTTTCAGTTTGCAATTTTTAAGAATTTGAATCAGCTTTGTATATACCCCTTTTGCATAACCAGCTGTTATATAGCGTAGGATATGCTGCATTTGCACTCTTTGCAACTCCTCACGTCATATCAGATACATAGGTAGGAACATTGTGCAATGCAATTTGACTGCCACTTTCTTAATCGACTGGTCAGTTTTGTTTTGGTAAAATTTAAGTGCAAAATAGTAAAAGGCTAAGTGTCCTAGTTTTATGATAATTCTGATGTAGTTTCTTCTGTTTGATCATCTGATAATATTTGTATCACTCCTCAGTAAAGAAGAGTTTCTCAGTATTCATATCTCATCTGAAAGTTGACAAGTCCGACAGTGCAACGGTCTCAGAGTCTCAGAGACTTGGGAATGTCAGCCTGAGTATGTGCTGGAGTTTCTAGATTGGGATTTGAAATCATGATCTTCTGGTATGAGCCTAGGGAGTTTTGATACTGGAGCTGGCAGAATGCATCTTCATATCTTTCTTCCTTCTCCC